AAACAATTTGCATACAAACATGGTAGAAGTACCTTGGATGCTGCGGTTGTCTTATATCACAATGTTGTCTCTTGTTTAGACAAAGGTGCTAAATATGTTCGTAGTGCTTTCTTAGACTACACATCTGCTTTTGACTCTGTACCTAGGGGCCTTTTGTTAAATAAGCTATCGTTGACACAAACAGGATCCTGGGCTAAGAGTTGGTTGCATTCCTATTTTTCTGATAGAATGCAGTATACTGTATATAACGGCAAATCTTCTTCTACCTCGCTTACAAAATCCGGTGTTCCACAAGGTGCTGTCCTCTCTCCTTTTCTTTTTTCTTTCTTCCTACATGACCTGCCTCATTCAAACGAAACTAACTTTGTCAAATATGCAGATGATCTGACTGTATCACTGCCTATCACTTCCGAGTCTGACAGCTCCAAACTTAATAGCTTTCTGTTGGACATCAACAACTGGTCCAAGTCAAATGGTCTTATATTAAATCCTTCCAAATGTCAGGCTTGACTTTACTTTCAAGCATCGACGTGACTTACTTGAACTAGTTAACTCTCATGATCCCTGTAGCATAGATGGCACGGAAATTGAAACCAAATCAAGCATTAAATACCTTGGATTAGTTTTTTCCTCTGACCTTTCATGGTCATCCCATATCTTATCTATCTCTAAGAAAATGTTTCGTCTTACCTTCTACATTAAAAAGTTAAGACAATCAGGTATCAACCAACCTTTAGTTTTGCAATTTTTAAACTCCTGTATTTTACCTATTGTACTCTATTGCTCTCCATTAATCTTTCCTGGGCTGCTCAAAAAAGATTATATCATATTACGAAGAGTATTAAATGCTGTGAGTAGAGCTTGTGGTCTGCCACTGCATGAGCTCGCTAATACTATAGTCGAGAGGCATATAAATTCCTGTACGAAATGGGCAAAGGCTATAATGTCAGACCCTCTGCACCCCCTTTATTCACACCTGTCCCCTTGTATCTCATCAGGTAGGACGAGAAGTCAATATAAAAAGATATATGCTCGTACTACTAAGTATAGAAATTCTACAATACCCTATTTAGCGCGTACTTTATGTGACGAAGACTCTGTTAGACGTGAAACTTACAAGTTACTATGTAATTAGCACAGTGAATCGACCCTTTTATCGTTCATCTTTCTGTATTTTATGGTGTCACACTTTCTATCGTTTAAATCGTTACTCTGCTATTTTATTTTAGTTGGTATTACTATTATTACTACAATTTTGTACTTTATACATATTTTTCTCCGTATGGCACACAGTATTTTGCTACGTAGCTGCTATAACAATCGTTTTATTACTATTATGTATTGTGTATTTTTAATTTTTTTGTCGTTTTTGAGTAAATTAGATGCAATATTGTACTGAATGCTGAAAATTCCTTGCTGTATCATGAGTACTGTTTTTGGAATAAAGCTATTATTATTATTATTATTATTATCTAATAGGTATTTAGACTTTAATTCATCTCATCCGCTAACTGTTAAGACAGGCTTAGTTAAGTGTTTAACAAACCGAGCAGTAGCACTAAGTAGCACAAGAAGAGACCTAAATGACGAAATGAAACAGATAGAAGAAGAAGCTTTGGTGTTAAGTAACTAACTATCCTATAAAATTCGTTAGAAAGATCAGTAAGGGTCAAAAGCAAAATAAGAATAATTGTGGAACTAGTAATGATAATATAAATAAGAAAGAATATAAGTCATCCACTGTTATACCATATAAGGAAGGGACATCTTAAACCCTACGTAATATTCTCAATAAATCAGGAATTAGGGTGGTGGCATTTAAACCTAAAAACTCACTCAGGCAGAACAAGCTCTGTAGGTTAAAAGACTCGGTGGACCCAATTCAACAAATTAAAATAATTTACAAAATACCTTGAAATGATTGTGAGTTAAGTGAACTACATAGGTCAAACCAGTAGGTCCGGGGAAGTCGGATTGTCAGAACATAAGAATTTAGTGGCTGACGTTAGAATGACAAACACCGCGAAGATAAGTAATTTAGAAAAAAAGCGCAGAACTACATTGCACTGCATCGATTAACACACAACCACACAATAGGCGGGGTCGCACGGAGTCAAAATTCCAAAAAGTGATACAGGTAGGTGGGAAGCGAGGGAGATCGATTACTGAATCCTGCCTGGTTCATCGAGTCTACACACCCAACACAACACATGCAACAGAAATGACTCAATGCAAATACCAGAGATATGCATGGAAGATATTATTACCACCACTCAGTCAGTCAATCAAATCACAGGAGGATAATAAATAATCTAAATTATATTCTGTCTCAATTCACATACTTTATAACATTCTAACAAGTTATTTATTTTTATGACTATAAAAACACTCGTCTTATTTCCCATCTGATTGTACATGATTGATAACACTCATATTAATAATATTTCTGAATATACATTATTTTATATTAATTTTATTCAAATGTCTTATCATCGATTTCACTCATGTATATAAATGAAAGAAAAAAGTTGTGTGAGTGACTTGGTATGATTATGAGTGGCAATAGTTTGTGCTCGAAAGGTGGTCATCAGTTAATATTACTGTATAACACTGTGTGACACTTAATCAAAATAAAATCTTATCCATAATGGGGTTATACTCTATCACAGTGCCCAAGTTTTATACTCATATCAATTTTAAGTCAATGAATGCGGCACACAGATAGAAGTGTTTATTGCTCATATCTGGATGCAGTTTTTTGCGTTTGTAGACATGAAACAACCTGATTGGCCAACTTTTCTCGTCCCATTGTTTAACCTTGGGTTAATCACCAACCAATCAGAACAATTTATTCTTCTCCAACTTAGTTGACTTTTAATGTGGCTAAAAAACTTGAATAAATATGATGTATTATTTCTCATTGTTAATAAAAGGTTCGTTAGCACTTCTCTTATCTTCTACCCCATTACAAACTTAATAATTCCGTTATGGCTGTATGCAGATGATGAGAAGCTGACGCAGTAAACGACGACACCAGGTAATTCTGCAAATCTATTGTGTATTTTTTTTGGTTTATTCAAAAACTTATACCGACTCTTCGCTGAACACCTCTTCTTCTAGTTGAATTAATCCGGATTTCTAAGATATTTAACATAATTTTCCACTAAGCACTCCTTAATAATAACTAATTAAATACTACAAGGCAAATTTAAATGATTATTCAGGTTTAAGGATTTCATCATGAGCTGACATTGGTTAGAAAACCATTGGAAAACCTGGGAGTACTGGACAACCAGCTGTTTCGTCCTGGTTCGGGACTCTTCCCAGTACGCATCCATCGGTGTTCGAACCCAAGACCTCCTGGTTACAAGGCGAGCTACCTCGTAGACCATTAAGCCATTTGGACTCGATCCGATGGCCCATGAATTCTAGCTTCTGTCAATTCAGGTGTTGGTTTCCAGGGTCTTGATTCAACTGGTTACAGAATTCCATCACGAGCTGACATCAGCTAGAGAATCATTGGAAAACCACTACTCGATGACTACTGCACAGCCAGCTGTTTCGTCAGCCAAGTTCCGGACTAACTCTCTCTCCAGTAGTACGCATCCACAAACTTTCGGCTAAAAGGAGACCTAACTCGTAGACGATTAATTAAGCCACTCACTCACTGGGACCAGCCAACCTAATGGCCAGTCAGTCCATAAAATTCCAACTTTTGACAATTCACACACAATATAGTGCGACCAGTAAACCAGCCAATGCCATCGTTGGCAACTATTTGTTCCCACACCAAACCTGCTATACCTCACTGGTTGGTCATGACTTCTCATTAGAACTCAGGTAACTACCTGCCTGAATAGGGTCAATAGCCGCTGGTTAGCGTCAGATTGATACTCAAGTATTGCCTCCAGGAATTCATCATGAGCTGTCATCGGTTAGAGAACCATTGAAGTTAGAAAACTAGCACAAGAATACTGGACAGCCAGCTCTATATCGCGTCAGCCTAGTATGGGTGCTCCTCAGCAACACACGCACCCACCACACAAGGCGAGTTCAAGGAAGGACATTTCGTTGTCCTAGTTAAGAGTCATCAGCGCTTAATGTACCTGCATTCCCAGTGAACGACTGAGTAAGGGTGTTCCCCGTCCTCAACCTCACTGAGATCCTAACACTCAGCAGTCATGATTTTGAACAGCGATATATATAGTAAAACAGAAAATATTTCAACAATCAATCATGTTAACAAATTTCATTTTATTTTATTATTATTTTTTAAAATCTAATATCTTTAGAAAATGACAGTATATGTATATATATATCTCTGCGCATGAATTAAAATAGGTAATTTGTATTACATAAGAGCCTGTGTATGTAGTATATATATATATGTCTGTGTGTATATATGTGTGTATGTATGTGTGTGTGTGTGTAGATAAAGGTAGTTAAAGAGAAGTAAGTAAGAGTAATAGAAGAAGGAGGACGAAGAGCGAGAAGAGGGTGAGAAGGAGGACAACGACGATGAGGAGGGGGGATGGTTGTTGATGGTGTTAGGGGTGAATAGGATGAACTTTGTTTTGCTTTTTAACCAAAACAAAATGTGAATGATCCTTTTAGAAAATCAATCAAGCATTTCAACGCATACACTCCATTGCGCTAAACACAGAGGGATAATTCTAATTTAATCAATATATATATATATATATTTAACAATAGAAATCAATCAATAAATAAATAAATCAATCGATGAATCACCTTTCAGAATTATGTAATCGCCGCCCACTTTAATGAATATACAGAATATGAGGAAAATAAAAGATGAAAGTGTATGTATGTGTATATGTATGTGTGTATTTTTGAATCTAAACAGCAGTAGAACAGAAGATACTACTTTTAACAATAATGAGTAGTATTAGTAGTAATAGTAACAGTAGTGAGAAAACGATAATAAAACACATATAACTCCTGAATTGTTCATTGAATTAACAAAACGAAACAAAATGTATATATATATATATATATATATATATATATATATATATATATATATAACGTGTATCTCATCGTAAACCAAACGCCCCCGCACACACACACACAGAGTACTGCTCAAAAGTTATGATACTATGCACACTCTCTTGGGCATATTCTGAAAAACAGAAATCGATTGAATAGGAACACAAAGAGTGTGTGAGAGTGTGAAAGACAGAGAGAAAGAGGGACAGATGGAGAGAAATGAGTCAAAGAGTAGGTAGAAATCCCAAAATGTATACAACCACACAGACACACATCGGTACGTATAATAAATGACTCAATGAAAACAAACTAGGCAGCAGTAACAACACCAACAGAAAAAACACAAAGTGTTTTTTTCTCAATATTATGTAATCAAATATGTATAAAGATACGTAGTATGAATCACTGTAATGAACAAGAATTCTAATGTCTATATTTCTCACTTTGTATTCTCGTATTTCTAATAGTAAGAAGTCATGTAGAATGAAAATGTAAAATATTTATCTTAAGGATGATATCAAAAAGCCGACGTAATGTATATATATATATATATCTGCATGGATCTCCTTCAGTATGTGTGTCAGTGTGTGTGTGGGGGGGAGGGGGGAGGAGGGGATCAATACACAAAGACTTGTCTTATTGTTGACCAAAACAAATGATGATGATAATGAACAAAGAGCCTGTCTCTCATGCATACATTCCCCGTCTCCCGCCGTGGCCGCCGTCAAAGCATTCAAGACACTTATCTCGTATAGTGTGTTTTGTAATGGTATGTATAGAGGAGCAGTGTCAGAGGTGTAGGTGTATCTCGGGACACAGATGAATTATATATATATGCGTTATACAGTATATGCATCATCACTTTCCACCTCTTCACCCCACCCACTTCTTCACAATCTCCGACTTCTCCGTGTGTGACTACTACAGGAATGGAAGCTCACGGAAAACACAAAATATGTACGTACGCGTATACATCTATATGCATTGAATATCAGCAGTCTTTTATCAGGAAACTATGGTTCTTCTCCGGAGGGAGGGAGGGAGAGAAGTGTAGATATATGTATAGGCACATCAGAATCTATATAATATTGTCTTTTTGATATATATATATATATATATATATATATATAAAGAAAAAGAACACAAATTATAAGACGAAAATCAACATGAAGATAAATGAAGACAGATGGAAAAATGGTTATGTAATGATAATGATAATAATAGGTAGGATACCTTCGAAGGATTTACTCTCTCACTTTCGACTTTGTGTTCTATACTCTCTCTCTCTCTGTTTTAGTACATATATACTCCTGTACTTCACTGATAGACAGAAGATAGTTTCACTTACTTCTAAGGGTAGGTAAAATAAGGCAAAATAAACACAAATAGAGACAGAAAGGAGGTGTGTGTATGCGTTGGTGGGGGCGGGGGGGGGCATAATCTCTTTTATCAAACAATTCAAGTTGCGTTTAAGTGTGTGTATAGGGAAAGAGTGTGTGTTGAGAGGGTGGCAGAGAGAGAGAGAGAGAGATGGGGCAGGAGCGTGTTTTGATATATATAATTTCAAGTGACAATGTGTGTATGACACCTACCTGCCTACACACACAGGAGTAATTCATCAGGGAGAAAACAACAAATTGATGAATATAAGACACATTCCTCAGGTTTTCTCTACACGTAGTGAACATACGCACGCACGCACGCACTCACACACACACACAGACAAAAATAAACAAACACATAACAGGAGCAAATATAATACAGACCATTTTTATATATGATATCGTAAGAAACAATAGAGAGGAAATAATGACAATAACAATAACATTGGCAGCAGTAGGAGCAATGTCAACGGGAAACAGATGGATCCGAATACACACACGCACACACGCAAGCACACACAGATGAATGTAGAAAATACATTTCATCAACAAATTTTCTACTACACTACAATTTGTATACTCAAAGGCAAACAGTAGTACACCACAATCGTTTAGGTTTAAAGACAAAGAAAAGAGAAAAAACGAATCATCCCACTTTCTCAGAATATCTATCTCTGTATATATACTCATGTAAGTAAACAGGTGTGTATTGTTGAAGAGAGTAAGGTAAGAAACGTGCGCACACACACACACATGCAACGAACACACGCACAAACAGACACTGTCAGTCCACTAAAAGTTGGCATCCCATCCGGATAATTCATCTGGTGCTTCTTGTTCATCCATTGTGAAACGATCAAAATTTGAATGATCTAATGGTCCATTCAACTGATAAAGTTGACAAGCAACAAATCACAACCATGATCACGATCACAATTACGATGATCAAATTAGAAAAATGCAATGAAACAGAGAAAAAAAGTATCGATTAAAAATTAATAAAATCTAATTTATTTCTAAATATTATATTTCCAACATAAAAATGACAATTGATCAAAACTGCTTATCGAGAAAAGTTCATCAGGAAAAAAACACACGACCATGAAAGCAGAAAAAGACTATTCTCTATCTGTAATTCAAGCGTGATGATGTACTCAGTGAAATAATTACAAAGAAGTTAAGAAAATCTATTCATCAGAGAACTTTTAATGCCAGTAAACTACTTCCATCCCTGAAATCCTTGACAGTTAAACTGAGTCAGGTAGGGAGGTGCAGACTTCCAGGTTGGGGGCCTCGGGACTCTAGGAATCAATGACTGGAGACAATAGGTGACACATGGCTCAAAATCGTTGTCAATGGCCAGCGCAGATGTATTCAGTCTCTGTAATCTTTCATATTTCTTTCTACCATTACCCATTCCGTTTCACTCTTATACTTGTCAAACTCTATTGATTCTCTTCACTCATCTTCTTGTCTACTTTTGTGTGCTATTTGGAACGTGGCAACTCGAACTGGTGCACTTCGGTGACAAGTTCAATGTTTTGATTTTTTGATTTTTGATTTACAGCTTGATGTCACACTGTATTTTTGGTACAAGTATGGAATTTTCAGCATGGATATCGGTAGCCCAAATTTTGCAGGCCGACCATAGATATCAGGTGTGCGCCGGCGTGGGCTCGAACCCCGGACCATGTGCATGGTCGGCGAGAGTCCTAACCACTGTGCCACCGACGCACAGGCAGACAGAAACTACTTCCATATTAGTTTGTTTATTAGATGTATCACACAGTCAGTGAAACAGTATTAGTATTTACTAGATAACACAGTTTCGAACAAAATTCAATATTGCTGTTCATAATTATATCGTCAATTATAATCACACGACTTCAAAACTTGAGTTTTATAGTTTTCTTTGTCTTCTCCTATTTACCGTTGGGGTACTAGTATTTTCCACATATCTGGGACAGGTGTTGAATCATTCCTGTTACACTTACTCTTTTCAGTTGATTGGTTAAACAGAGCTTCCGTTATCAATCTCTCCCTCCACCCTGTGACATTGGATTTTAAAACTGTCATCCTATCCCATTCATTGTATGTTGTATGGTTGTGTGTAACTGCACGCAGTGCTATGGCTGAACTACTCTCTAGATTTCTTATCTTATTTGGGTCAACCAATTTAGATTTCGCTAGGTTTTAATGCTCGGCTAGTCGGACTGCTCCTGTTCTACTAGTTTGACCTATGTATTTGACCTGACAATCATTCCCGCAGAGTATTAGATAAACTAAATTGTTTTGTTTTAAAGGCTCCACAGGATCCACCATTTAACCGACAAAGCTTGTCTCTAACTGAGTTTGTGGTCACTTTGAATGCTACTTTTATTCCTGCCTTGTTAAGAATTCGGCGTAAGGTTCTGAGGTTCCTTCCGAACATAAAAACCTCGCAAAATCTAGATTAGCTGACCCTAATAAGATAAGAAATCTAGAGAACAGAATAGTTCAGCTATAGCACTACGTGCAATTTCACTCAACCATACAATAGGATGGGACAGGATGACAGTTCTAAAATCTAATGTCACAGGGTGAAGGTAGAGATTGACAACTGAAGCTTTATTTGTCGAATCAAGTGAAGACAGTACGTGTGATAGGAATGATTCAACACCTGTCCCAGATATCTGGTTGGCGATTGGTTCTTGTTTTGTTTGTTCCCAGCCATAGTTTCTTGTTGGTGGTGATTCTTTCCGGCCCGGCCGGCCATCTGATCTTCAGTATAGAGCCAGCGAAGACAGTTGTTGGTTGATAAAGGTAACGTCTGCAACAGGCTATTGGAAATATTCTTTGTGACCCATCCACCCGCCAAGTTTCTGATCCGTATAGAAGAACTGACTGACTGACTTGACGTTGTTTGTATTGAAAATCCGACTGAATTTTGTTGTTGATGGTGAGTTGAGTAACGAAGATTTCTAGATTGGTTTCAGTTGGTTGATGAATGAATGTGTTTCTCGCTCGCCTTCCCGATTCTCGGTCGATTTGACATCCTCGTCCGTTCCGACTTCCTGTAGTTGAGACAATGCTCCCTAGATAAGTGATAAGTGAATGAAGTAACCTCTTTCAAATCCCTCCCGTTGATGGTGATTGGCCTAGATTACTAACTCGCTGATTTTCTAGCCGGTCCCAAGCCCGGATAAAGAGGAAGGGTCGGGAGCGTGGTGCTAGCAACTCCACCCCCAAAACTTAACCGAATTGCTACAGAAACTTCAATGCATTAATGTATTAAAAATACTAAAAATAAAGGTGTAATGCGAAGCATTAATAGTTCGATATTACACCACCTGGTCCGAATAGGGCATAATGCTAACTAGCATTGAAGAATCCTTCTCCATCATCATCTATCGGGTACTTAATAAATAAATTTTCAAAAGCATCCAGATACTGAAGACTCCAAATGGTGGAGGCTATTGTGATTCGCCTAAAACTCTGTGTGTAGAGAAGAAACAGGTCCAACTAGGCAGTCAGCCACTGTTACTGCCCTGGCCTTCTGTGGAGCCTATGAATTCTTTATTATTATTCACCCATAAGTTGTCTGATATTCAGTGTAGTGCAGTGTTATGCTGATGCATATTATCACGCTCACACAGACGCTATTCAACTATAATCTATTCACACTATTGATTCATTCCATGTTATTTAAACAACATTAGTGTTGTTAATAAGCCTAAATGTGGATGCATATAACAGCAGAAGCTGATAAAGAAGGAGTTATCTAAGTACAGCAGGTCGGGTGTGAGGACGAATGCTCAACAACAATGACATTCGCTAGTGGTTGCGCTATATCATATATATATATATATATATATATATATAATTTCCTTGAATTCCTAGAGGAACATAGGACTTCAGCCGCGCGTCTCCAGTGCGTTCGGTTCCCTGCCAACGTTTTCACCCCGCTCCAAGTCTGCCACCCACATGCTTTCATTTCCTCTTCACATGACCTCCTCCAAGTCACCTTCATACTGACGACCAACTCGCCGTTTCCCTTTCGGCCTGGTTCCACTCGAGCGATGGCTTGTCTAGTGATGTCACTTGATGGTTTGTTTTCTCAGAGTATGGCCAATCCATCTTTCTTTCTTCCTGCCTATTTGTTGCACAATTGGTTCCTGTTGGGTTGGTTCGCTCCCAGAGATACCTGCTTATTGCTGATCTTTTCTGGCCGGCCATCTGATATTGAGTATTGACCGAAGACAACTGTTAATGAAGGTCTGTATTTTGTTTGATATATATATATATATATATATATATATATATATATATATATATATATATGAAAAAATCGACAAGTTATATAATACACCAACTGACAGACACAGATACAAAAGATGAAATTCGTTATTTGCGCGCTTACCTTAACTTTGAATGGAGTGGCCAATGTTTGTTTTACTATACCAGCCCAATCGAAACCTTGAAAATATCTATAAAACAGGAAAAAGAGAGAGAGACAGACAGAGCGAGAAAGGTGAGAAAGACAGTGAGAGAAATAATGATAACACACAATATGAATTTCACTCGGACTAGAAATGATAAAAACGGATCAATTAATCATAGAAATAATTTAAAGGGTTTAATATTTACCTCATGTGTCAGTCATCTGTTTGGTTCTCTATAACTGATGTCAGCTCATCATGATGATATCCTTCAACCAATCATCAAACTAAACCCTCTACAAAAACCAATACTTGAGAATTACCCTCTTATGCTCACTAGTGGTAACTGGCCCTATTCAGACAGTTAGCAACGCGGCGGTTCTTGTAAGAAGCTGTGTGACCAACCAGTAGGGTACAAAAAGTCGAAGGTGAGGACAGTTACTCATTGAAGAAGACATTGTGAAGTGGTTGCGCTATGTCGCGCTTGAATCGGCAGAAGTTCGAATTCATTCACTGACTGGCCATTGGATTGGCGGGTCCCAGTGGCTGGTTGAATGGTCTACAAGCTAGGATCCTGGGTTCGAACCCTGCCTCCATATTGAAGATCAAATAGACGGTTGACCAGACAGAATTAGCAACAAAATAACTCTGGCGGTGAACGAACCAACCAACAGCTGATTGCTCAGCCACTATGTGGGAGAAAATTGAAATGGATCGGGCACACGCCATTAAAGGAGGTCATCGAATGACACCGTCCAGGAATCCTACAGTGTTTTACTGAAAGCTAAATTAAATACTTGTGCACACGCGAGTTCATGCAGTGATTATCTGATATAGTTTCATGATTACATCAATCAAAAATGCATAAGAGGAGTTTAAACACCACTTTGATAGATGGAAACTCTAATAGCCGAGTGATTTAAAGCAAACCGCCGTTATCATAATTTATTGTTTGTCACCGTCGAATCAAGCCATTTACCAAACGATTTTCTAACTTATACGATGACATAGTGCATCCGTGGTATAGCGGTTGGGACGACGCTAGCCGAGCACGCCTAACGTAGTCCGGGGTTCAATCCCCGGCCACTAAACGATTCACTCCTTTACCTCGCTCGCTAAGCCTGCAAGTAATAAGACTGTTAAAGGGGGAAGGTTGGTTAGGCATGAGACTGCTACTGAAACTTTAAGCCTCTAGCTTGAAGCCCTATGTTCCTTCCACTGGGAACGTGAAGCAATGAAAAAAACGACATAAAATTATACCCTATCATACAGTCCTTAAACTCGCCTCTAAAAGAGGGCAATTTACTTCTTTAAAGCGTAGCTCTTTGCATAGAAAAGAATTTTATCTCTAACTGATAACGACTCATTTGATCAACCCTGTAACCAATCAAATCTCCGCAAATTACGTCTACCTGTCACATTGTTGCCCATTCTCCTAAGGTGTTGAATTCCACCCATTTAGCTAACAACAGGATCATCCTAACTAGAAGACTCACTAATCACATGATGAACCCTTTGAACTGGCATCTTGAACACCTGGAAGTAATCACAGTAGGAGGCTGTTCAATCAATTACAAAGTGTATTATTACAATTCAATGTCACAGAAATTCATATCTCCAAGAGATATTCGAAACCCGTGGTTATACGAAATATAAGACTTCTTCCTTATGAGTTTGATAACCATAGTGCAAGGTTAATTCTTCGCTTTTACTCCTTTACGTTTCCGGTGGAAGGAACATAGGGTGGCTTCAAGCTAGAGGCTTGAAGTTTCTGGTAGCTGTGATGTTTATTTTTTTACGGGATGGGGTTGCTAGTTAGCCTCATGCCTAACCAACCTTCCCTTTTTACCAGTCTTATTACTTACAGGCTTAGCGAGCGAGGGTAAAGGAGTGAGTTGTCCAGTGGCCGAGGATCGAACTCCGTACCACCTGCGTACGACCAACGCACGCAAAGTTAATTTGGTCAGTGCAATTGACGAGAGAGAGAGAGAGAGACTATAACAACAATGCCACCTTGTTAACCTTCCAGTGAGTGATGCCTGAGAGATAATAGCAAGCTTATACAATACAACATTTCTATAGGAAATCATTTGTCACATGAATTCACCGACTGAAATGATTATTTCTCTAACTACCGAATGAAGTCAGCCCCAAATATACTGGAAAAAAAGATATATCAATTCCCTTGAGGTCGCTAATATATATCTGATTTGATTTTTATTTAAGATTCCTTCTTGTTATGGTTGATTAAATGCTAAACTCCACTCAATAATCGCGATTCCCCCCCCCACACCGCAGCCCTCGTGCGCTCTCTCTCTCTCTCTCTCTGACTTCGCCTATTTAGTGAGTTATGCCAATAAAAGGGATTGAACACTGTAAATCAATAATTTTTGGTTGTTCTTGTTGTTTACGTGTTCTTTTCTTTGTTATACACCCATGAGAAGCGTAAAATTGTTGTGTTTTTCTTTTTCTCTATGCTTAAACTCACAATAACACCACCTCATTAAATACTCTTTTATATTTTTATAGTTTGGTTTGTAAGGGTTAGTTTTGTCTTTTTACGAGTTGATCATGGATTATTGATATCATCAGTTAGAGAACCAGTGGGTGCGTACTGCCGATTAAACTAGGCTGATGAAACAGCTGGCTGCCTGGCAGTATTCCAGTGCTGGTTTTCTCTACCTAATATCAATCCGTGATCAACTCGTAAAACCAAAACTAATTCTTTTTTTTTTTTTTTGATTAAGTGTTGGTTAATTTTGCAGAGATATCAATCATGAATTTTCAAGTATTGGATTTGTAGGGATTTTGTTTGATTGCATGGAGGATTTTATCATGAGCTAATATCGGTTAGAGAACCGCTGGAAAACCTGGGAGTACTGGATAGCCCCAGCTGTTTCGTCAGGCTAGTTTGAGACTCTTCATCAGTACGCACCCACCGTCGGGGTTCGAACCCAGGACCTTCTGGTTACAAGGTGAGCTCATAGACCATTCAACCAGCCAGTGATAGCCTATCCAATGGTCCTTGAATTCTAACTTCTATCAATGAGGAGAAGACCACCACCACCAACCAAGTCAGCTGTGAGAAAAAAGAAATACTCCCCTAAGGAGATTGATTAGCAGTGACGCTAGAGATTATCGTAAATTAGCACAAGTTAGAATAAAAACATAAAGTGGACAGTGGATTCCGTCCCGTTGGCTGAGTGATAAACAAGAGGTTCCGGATTAGATTCCTGGCAGTGGGATCATGTGTGTACATTGTTGATGAGTTAGTCTCAAACTGGGAAGAAATAATTGGTTCAGAGCTCCCAGACTTCCAGCGATTCCTCTCATTGATGCCAGTTCATCATCTAACTTAAAACTTCACTGGGATATAGAACAACTACATCACTTCTATTTCTAGACACATAGAATCACTAAGTGTCCGTGGTTTAACGGTAGGATATTCGCCAGTCACTCTCAGGTGATCCAAAAATGACTCCTGATTGTCACCAGTGTTATGTGTCTAGTCCTTAGTGGTGATGCCTGATCGACGACGTAACCAATGATTTCATCTGTCACAGTCTTGCAGGAGATTAATCCTGAGCCTAATTAATTCAGGAGTACAGTGACTCTGGTTTGAATCTCCGACAGTGTATCAATACTTTCAAAGTTGCACAGATATACCTTGCTAACGAGTTCCAACAAGTATTGTTTTTCATTCTTTCACGTTCCCAGTGGAAGGAACATAGGGCGGCTTCAAGCTAGAGGCTTGAAGTTTCTGGTAGCTGTGATGTTTATTTTTTTTTACGGGATGGGATTGGTAGCCAGCCTCATGCCTAGACAACCATCCCCTCTTTACCAGTCTTATTACTTACAGGCTTAGCGAGTGAGGTAAAGGAGTGAGTCGTCCAGTGGCCGGGGATCGAACCCTGGACTGCTGTGTCGTCACCGACAAATAATCAGATGACAACTGACTGTTTTCAACGTAGAACTTTGCACAAATGTGCAGCAGTTCCACCTACCTAGTTGCCACTCTCCCTCCATGTATCACAAAAAGCAAGAGAAAAGAGTGATGAGGGAGATATAATAAACAGAAGTGTGAGCGAAGGAGAATAGTAATATAGAAAAATAACAGAATTATATTGGATATGACCGACAAATCACAAAGACAGCGAATGCATCTGTGTTGGCATTGACAACGAGGATTTTCAGTCATTATCGATAACCCAACCAGCCAATCAGGAAGTCTACATCTCTCTACTTGTCTAGGTGGCTATTGTGAATTTCACTGACTGATGAAGCCATGATAACTAAATTCCTCCATAGAATACACACATAGATCAGGCTTTTGAACGCCGCATTGTTGCAGGTTCAACGAACCGAAAAACAGCTAAATTACTTCGTTTGTTGATCATCAAGCCTAAATGACTCGAGAGAGTTTACATTTATCATACCAGGTAAGCGGTTAGCGATTCAGCTGTGTCAAACAATTTCAATCCGTTTAAACAAAATCTCAACCTAAATACCACCCACCTAGCATCACAGACACGCATAAATCGATACATACACACACACACACACAGTGGAAATTAGTCCAACATTGTATCTACGAAATAGCTACAAGATAAATCCTGTAGGCCTATGCTTCTGTTGTGTACAACTTTCCCTTTTAACATTAGTTCTCCTTGTTCTTTTCGAGTCTAATGTGGTAGATATCTTCTAACTTGCAATTTCTTCAATTTTCAAATTACAACTTTTAACATATTGCCTAATACTACTACTACTACTACGACTATTAATGACAGGCGCAACAGTGTGTACAATATTGTCGTGTGCACGAAACACTAAGCTATACATCATAATTAATTAAGTTTATTTAATTAATGCATTTACCATCTGTCTGTCTACAATTTTTTAATAGACTATACAGTGTTCAAAGACAATTATTTTTTTTTTGATTACAGCTTGATTCCACACCGTATTTTTGGTACAAGTATGGAATTTTCAGCACGGATATCGGTAGCCCAAATTTCGCAGGCCGACCGTAGATATCAGGTGTGCATCGG